GCCGGTCCTGAAATCGAGTCGCCGGGACAACGTGCGGACCGTGCAACTGCGAGGGCGGGAAGGCGGCGGACTGTGCACGGCGATTTGAGACGGTCAGTTTTGGTGTGGAGCTCGGCGCAGTGGGTGTGCATACCATGTCGGAGTCCAGCGTTTGACCGGGCTTTGGAGAGTGGGAGGGGGTGAACAAGGGGGTTGGTTAGAGAAGCGAGAAGATGGAGGAGAGGAGGTGGGGGGGAGGGACGGTGGGAACGAGTGATGCTCGCTCTGACTGGCCTATATATCCCACAGCTTCGGACGTCCATGCCTAGACCTGTGACTCATCAGACACCCGAGCATCTGAAGGGAAATGAAGAACTGACGGCGTGCAGGTCAGCGGCTCTGTCATCAAATTTCGGTTCGGAAGCACGGAGCATGCGTTGTGCCCCAGAATGCCTGTACGTAAATGTATATCGGACACGGTGATAGCACTGATGAACTTTGCTTTTGTGCACGTTTACAATCAGTATGGGGACCTGAACGCGACTGACCCCATGTTCGTTGGCCATATCTGTACCTGCTCATCATATCCAATGGTGAGGACGTCCCTCTCCCATAATGCAGAATGTGGGCGATGTCCGCGCGTCAAGAACGGCAACATGCACGCATCTCGAACCCACTCAAAGCCCGTCGATTTTGCTGCGAAATGAGCTGATGGAACATTCGGTGTCTCATTCTGACACCGCCACCTTCCCGAAGCTCAACCACATGCACACTGCGCCCGAGACCGTGCTTATCGCTATTCGCCGTGTTCAACGGATCGTGTAGTCTTCAAGACGGTCCATCGTCTGAAGGCCCTGGACGCCATGGGCGTATGGTGCTCTCGGAGGCTGTGAGCAAGCCTACAAGATTGGAAACATCTGTACTCACCAGAAATACCTGAACGGGCACAGTTCGTGTAAGGAAGACTTCCGCGTGGTCTCAGGTACAGCCATGAGGATGGAGATGTTCAGGTGACGGCGCTTCAGGTGACTCGACGCGAGGTGCTCATAACATGACTCCGAAAGCAACGCTTCGTTCGGATGATGAATGACGGACTTTGGAGCTAGATGCGAAGCGTGATGGGAAGGTTTGTTCGTTGACTCGGGATGTGAACCGCCCCCTCTCCGACCATCGGCACAATGGGCCTATCAAACACTATCAGACGCTGCGCAAAGAAAGCTACAGCATACCGAGCGGCTTGCTTTCAACTTCAATGGGTTCTGGTGAGCGTGCTATTGGTTGAAGATTATCATTCCCTCGCAGAATCAGCGGGCGGCTCCAAATTTGTAGAGGAGAACAATGGGCAGACAAAGTTTGAGAAGGCCATAATGGCCAGAACCTGACCTCTGCTTCTCGGAAGAGTCAGTACCCCATTGACCGTGTGGTCACGGTTCGATGATTTGAGAGAAGTCGGTACCTGTTGCATTGGAAGCATGCCTGCTTGCAGGAAGAATCATGACGTGGGACACAATTTGATAATTGATTAATGAAGAGCCATCCTAGGCCCGGTCATCAAGTGCGAAGGCATCCACGAGATTGCGTTCTCGTGACCAGACTCTCCATCCCAACCAGTCGGGTCGATGAATCGCGCATGCAATTCGCTGATCTTACCTGCTTGTCACATGGGAAGGTTCATGTTGGAACTCCGCAGCGGCAATAGGAATGCGTGTTGTCGGGGTCCGAGTCTGATGATTCGGTCCAGAGAACTTGGAAGCAGTTCGCACCATGCGAAAGTTCTGGTACACGTTCAACCCTCTGCCCTTTGTCGCCTCAGGTAGCTTTGTAGTGAACTGTGTACAGATACCCTACAGGTCGTAAGACGGGCTGTATAGAGCTCTCTCTGCCCCTGCCAGTTTCTCATCTCACACAATCTTTGCGGTCCCCGAACATAGATACATTCACACGGCTGGGCGCACATGCTCTCATGCTCGCTTTTACACCCTGCGCCGCCGTTCCTTCCTCTACCTCCCTACCTGCATCCCCACCGACACCCCTCATCTCCTCCTCCTCCTTCACCACCCTCTCCACCTCCTCGCTCGCATCCGCCCCCATAATGCCCAGCGCCTCCCTCAACGCACGCACATTATCCAGCAGACTCGCGAGCGTCCC